TAGGAGCTCGGTAGCGGGACGCTGGAAGACCCTTGGTCTTCCTGCCAGCGATGCCTCGGCGGCCTCCAGCTCAGCCGTCCCGCCGTTGGCTTTTCCCCTGAAGTTTGTAGGGATGCCTGGGGAGAAGGCCAAGGAGCAGGTGAAAGGATGAAGAGGGGGGATGAAAGAAGGAAGCGGCAGCTGAGCTACGTCAGCGGTGTCGCCCAGGATCTCTCTCATTCTCAGCAGAGACCGGGAAACGATGCTCTTTTCTGAGCTGCTTTGTGAAAACTCTGATTCAGTTGCAGCTATCACCTAAGCGAGGGAGAGTCTGGCGTGTCCCATCACACTGCTTCTCTCATTCGTGCGAGGACATTACCGCCGATTGCTTTTGTCGGATTTTGTAACAGGTCCACTGTGAGCTGGGCAGGCACATCTCAGGCAGGTGTCCCAGTTCCTACAGAAAACTCGTCCTGCGGCGTGGGTTCGCTCCTGACGTGCGTTGCGTGGTTTTCTGGGGTGTGTTATAGACGCTCGTGCTCAAATCAAATTGAGAAGCCAATTTCTCATTAATCAAAGTGAATTTATTAGCAAGCGCTAAAAGAGCAAAACAGCGCTGGGCGGCCGGGGAGCCTCCTGCTCCGCCAACGGTCCGCACCAATAACAGATGCAACCCCTCTTTTTATAGAGTCCCCATTTCCTGCATACGTGACTTCTGGTATTCTCTGCATTCTGTTTGCGCTTGCGCAACTAATTGCCAGGTGGTCGTTGTCTGCCTCTCGGTGGTCGTTGTGGTCGTTGGAATGAAGGCCGAAGTCTTTCTCAGGCGCCCTGCTGTCTGCTCATTCGTGCCCCAAGTCATTGCTTTGCTTATCAGCAGATGGGCCATCTCCCTTCAGCAAATGGTTGCTTACTTTGCTTACTCCTCCGGATGTCTGTGGCTTCAGCTTAAGTTACAAAGAAACTCCAACATTCACATGCGATTTCATGAACAAAGTTCACCTATTCATCACAGGGCTTCTCCTCTTTCTCCATCAGCCGGTTTGAGCACAAATTTTATATGTATACATTTATTACAGGGTGGACAGACAAAACCTGCCTTTTTGTACCGTGGCCTTGGATTCCTCTTGAAGCTGGTCTGTGACCTAGCCTGGTCTGTGACCTAGCCTGGGCTGTGACCTAGCCTGGGCCAAACCAGCCCTCCTCTACCTCTGCGTGACGCCTTGCATGGGAAGGCTACACTGTGTGTAAAACGGCCTGCCGGAAACCGCGGGGCAATAGAAAGAACCCTTGCAGTCTCAGGCTGTGTTTTTAAAAATAAAGGATCCAACAAGGGTTGGCAAAATTGTCAGAGAGATTATGCACATTCGGTTAACTTGTATGTATTCCAGCCTCTGCAATTCTGCGGTTCTGTAAACGTTCACCCAGACTGTGCCATTACGTGTCTTTCACCCCAGCTATCAGTGCCTGGTTTGAGAACAAACAAATCCTAAAGCTGCACATATGCATTTTAATGTCATTTGCAGTTTGTCTCAGCAAAATCACTCGGGGCACATTTCTTTTAGTACATGTATAACTTTTGGTTATGCAACAGGCTTGAAATTTAAGATTTATTATTGAAGAACTTCTTTTAAAAGTGTGCTTTCAACGGTCTCGATGAACCCGAGTCTTCTGACATTCAGTAATTTGCTTTGTGTTCAGGCCAGACGATCAGAGAAAACCAAACATACCACATCTGTTTCCACTGGAGACCTGTATCACATCAATAATGCAGCATCACCAGACTCTTCCTGAAAGGCTCCTGTGTTAGAGGGAGAACGAGAGCGATTTTTTAAAGGGCAAAGAGCTCTTTTCCCTATCTGAGTCATATTTTCTATTTCTGTCAAACTAAACCATTCTATTTAGCTATCTTTTTATACAACGGCCTTTCCATATTTTCATTGCTGAAGTTTTGAGGGATTAGGCTATCATCACATTCACAGTTTTCAAATTTGTCTTAGCAAAACGTGTTGTAGGTGAGGCCTAATCCTGGAAAATAAGAAGTGTGTTCTTGGGTGAAAAGCTGCTGAAAGCGTTGTACCGCAGCAGCTAGCAGTGCAATCTTGATTTGCTCTACATGGTGAGGACTGGTTGTACAACGGCAGGCTGAATCCCTCAGAGCAAGTTACCTGCCAAGTTGCGTATCCCTACCTGTCCTACCGATTCTTATTCTTGTTTAACAGGTGCATTGGGAGCTTTAATGAAACATTTATTTCATCTGTAGTTGATACGGATTTTTGTGTTCCCAGAGGTGGAATGGTTGCAAAAGGCAGCTTTCCTGTTGGTCTGGTTTGCTGGTTGCCTGAGCTAATTTGTAACTGTCTGCGTTTGCATTGGCTGCTGGGTGCTGCTGGCAGGCTCAGCTCCTGCCTTATTTGTGTAACTTCCTGCATGATGCCGCTGTGCATTTATCGTTAATCTGTGGTGAACCGAAATAATCATTAGGAATT